CACCGTCCTACAAAAAAGCGTCTAGTTCCCGTTTATCAACTCCCGGACCCACATTGCGGCTGAGTAGTCGAACAAGTCTTCACCATGTCCCCGGAAGCCATAGGTACCATGTTCCCGATGGGATGGCTCTCAACATGGCGACAACGCCAGGGATCGCGACCGCACCGCTTCGAGAGCACCAGAAAGCACTGAAGCTCCCATGAAGTATCCGGATTACTCATACGAGATCCCCGGTAGACGGCGTAAGGACGCAGGCAAAGAGTGGGTGTTGTGCCCGTCCCCTGTCCCGTCTCGCATCGGATAAAATGGATACACGATATCAGGCCCGCACCTGCATACGGAATCTTGGATCTCGGCCCAAGATCTCGATGTCGCTAGCATGCTTTTCCTAGTTCAGTAGCGCTGACAAGCAATTTATATTCTGCTGGTATGCTCCAGGGCGGTGATTTACCGGTCTCCAAGTCTTGTATCGGCTATTCATTCTTTTGAGAGAGCGCTGCTTTTTCACGGGACGCGATTATGAAGTTACAGACGTCTACTTTGCTGGCGTTTGCGCTGTTGGAGTGTGGTAGTGCCGCAGTTGTCGAGCGGGAGGCAAAGGGAGCGGTTAATGCCAGCTCTTATGACTTTGTACGTTACCGATCGAAGCCAACAGATCACCTCATACATGAAAAAAACTGAACAGCCTGGAGCCTACGTTATCGTTGGGTCACCTACTTTGCAAGATTTTGGGTCAATGTAGTCTGCAGACCTGTTCAGTCTTTTTCTTATATGAGGTGAGATTCCATCCCGACTCCGAAGATGATCTAACAGACGATGTAGATTGTCATTGGAGGCGGAACTGCAGGCCTCGCCGTCGCTTCACGCATCAGTATCGGACTCCCAGAACTCAGCGTCCTTGTCATCGAAGCTGGACCCGATGGCCGTCAGGAACCAGGCATCTCCGTCCCAGGAAGAAAAGGATCAACACTTGGTGGCAAATATGACTGGAACTTTACCACCATCGCCCAACCCGGCGCCAACAACCGCGTGTTTGCGCAGAACCGTGGCAAAGTTCTCGGAGGATCCTCCGCTCTCAATCTTATGACATGGGACAGGACTTCCGAGTACGAACTGGACGCCTGGGAGAAGCAGCTCGGCAACAAAGGATGGAACTGGAAGAACTTGTACGCTGCGATGTTGAAGTGCGAGACATTCCTACCGTCGCCGGCATACGGCACCGAGGGAGTCGGCACAACGGGGCCCATCCGCACGCTCATCAACAGGATCTTTCCCCGTCACCAGTCCGCATGGTATCCCACCATGAATAGCCTCGGCTTGGCGACGAACCGAGAGAGCCTGAACGGACGCCCCATCGGTGTCTCGACCCAACCGAGCAACGTCAGCCCCAACTACACTCGCTCTTACGCCCCAGAATACCTCAAACTTGCCAAGGATAACCTGGTGTTGAAGCTAGACACGCGTGTGGCGAAGATCAACTTCAAAGGAAAGACTGCCGTCGGTGTCACACTGGAAGACGGTACAACAATCACCGCGCGAAAGGAGGTCATTATCTCGGCTGGATCGTTCCAAACTCCTGGTCTTCTGGAACACTCCGGTGTCGGCAACTCTACTCTCCTCAAGAAGCTCGGTATTCCCGTCGTTAAGCATCTACCTTCGGTTGGCGAGAACCTCCAAGACCACATTCGCATCCAAATCTCCTACCAACTGAAGCCCGAATACCCTTCCTTCGACGTCCTCAAGAACGCCACTCGCGCGGCTGCCGAGCTAGCCCTCTACAACGCGGATGAGGTCTCACTTTACGACTACACCGCCAGCGGCTACGCATACTTCCCCTGGGGCACCGTCGGCAATGAAACCGCTTCAAAGTTCCGAAACCTCGTTGACAGCGACGCCAGCTTGACGTCCGCAACCGACAAGTTGAAGAAATCATACTTCTCCCCCGCTCTCAGCACAAAGGTACCTCAACTGGAAGTCATCTTCTCAGACGGCTACACCGGTCTGAAAGGCTACCCCGCCGCCAACTCCACCCAATTCGGCATCGGCACATTCGCACTAATCGGCGTGGTTCAACACCCCTTGAGCAAAGGAAACGTCCACATCTCCTCCCTTAACATCAGCGACAAACCGCTCATCAACCCAAACTACCTCTCCCACCCCTATGACCTCGAAGCCGCGACCAACCTCGCCAAATACCTGCGTAAGATCGCTTCCACCGCGCCCATGAGCGAGGTCTGGACAAATGAGTACGAACCGGGCAGTGCTGTGCAGACGGATGCGGATTGGCGCAGGTATGCGCTGGCGAATACGTTGAGTATTTATCATCCTATTGGTACTGCTGCGTTGCTGCCGGAGAAGGATGGTGGTGTTGTGGATAAGGAGTTGAAGGTCTATGGTACTAAGGGGTTGAGGGTGGTGGATGCGAGTGTCATTCCTCTTTTGCCGAGTGCGCATTTGCAGACGCTTGTTTATGGGATTGCGGAGATGGCGGCGGAGATGATTGTTAGGGAGCATAGTTAGGTGGTAGGTTGTTAGTGAATGTATGCACGATACTTGGATCAAAGATGTTGACTGAGCGGCAAGATAGCTGCACCAGATTACACAGGCACGCCAACCTTAGAAAAATCTGAACAGGTCTAGAGCCTACATCGACGTTAAGACACCTACTTTGCAGGGTTCTATGTTAATGTAGGCTGCAGACATGTTCGGTTTTATGCTTGTATGAGGTACAGGTGTCTCTAATTGACGCGTTGTTCCATGCCGGTCATGCTTCATAAGCGTGTTACTTCCTTCTTCTAAGGCCTCCCGACCCGTTTGGGCTAGCTTCCCTTCCCCCGCATGTAGGGCCGGCCTCAACCATTACTATTTAGATGCCGCCGATGGCGACATGCCGCGGCATCACCACTAATGCGCCCTGCGGTTGACACCTCAACAATTCGGTGCAAAGCATTATTAGGATAGATGCCGACGGCAACAAAGTCATCCTTGGAATGGATGAGCCTCGTCACCAGAGCATGACGCCCAATAATTCTTCCTAGCAGTACAAGCTACATAACCCAGAGCTCGGACAAAAGACATCGGTCAATTGACTACACACCACGAAAACCTCCCTCAGGTTCACTCCACAAGCTATCAACATGTCTTTCTCCATAGGCATGCCCTGGAACGAGGGCGAAGAGAAGATGCACCGCCTCCTCCGCATTCCGTCTCAAGACAACCCAACATCAGCCATGCTCACACCACAAGCAGCCTTCATGTTCCAACGCGCCCCTCTGCTCGCACTCGGGACTCTAGATGCACAGCATCGACCTTGGACGACACTATGGGGTGGCGAGCCTGGTTTCTCAGAGCCGCTTGGTGGTGGTTTCGTCGGTACAAGGACTCTCGTCGACGGCAAGTATGATCCTGTTGTGCAAGCGCTTGTGGGTGGAGGGGAGAAAGGCGAGATGACACAAGCGAAAGACGGTGGGAAGCTAGTAGCAGGTTTAGCCATCGACCTGATGACAAGAAAGAGAGTCAAGACCGCCGGCCGCATGGTCGCAGGGACGATAAAAGACGTCGAAGTCGAAGTCGAAGGCGAAGAAAACAGGAAACAAACACAACTCCAACTCGTCACGAAGATCGAGCAAAGTCTCGGGAACTGCCCAAAGTACCTCAACCAATACGAAATCCGGCCCGCGCTTTTAGACCCAGAGCTCGTATCGAAAGGCTCGTCGTTGTCTGAAGAAGGGAAAGCACTGATATCAAAATCCGACATGTTCTTTCTCTCCACCAGCACAGAAGACGACATGGACGTCAACCACCGCGGCGGCCCACCAGGTTTCGTCCGCATCATCTCCACAACCACCCTCGCCTACCCCGAATACTCTGGGAACCGGCTTTACCAATCCCTCGGCAACCTGATGCTAGACCCGAAAATCGGGCTCGTGTTTCCAGACTACGAAACCGGAGATGTTGTGTATATAACAGGCACAACCTCCATCCTCGCCGGCACAGACGCCTCCGCCCTCCTCCCGGGCAGTAATCTCGCTGTTAAGATAATGATTGAAGAATGCCGGTACGTAAAAACCGGTCTACCATTCCGCGGCACGAAGAAAACACCAAGTCCGTACAACCCACTCGTCCGCACACTAGCGACCGAAGGCAATGTCCGCGCCGCCCTATCCAGCACCTCCTCCTCCTCTTCCCGCTCCACGCGCCAAACAGCCCTTCTCACAAGAAAAGAGATCCTCACACCCACCATCGCACGCTTCACTTTCTCCGTCAATGGCGGCCTCACATACGCGCCTGGTCAGTGGATCGCGCTTGATTTCAGCCAAGAGCTCGATGTGGGATATGAGCATATGCGGGATGAGGATCCGGCGAGTTTGAACGATGATTTTGTTAGGACGTTTACGATTTCTTCGACTCCTACTGTAGGAGACGCGGGTAAAGAGAAGGAGTTTGAGATTACCATCCGAAAAGTGGGGGCTGTGACTAAGTTTCTGTTCCAGCAGAATGAGCGTGCAGGACTGGAAGTGGGTGTTTTGGGGGTGGGAGGGGAGTTTAAAGTCGTGAGTGCTAGGGCTGGAGAGGGGAGAAACGTGTTTGTGGCTGGGGGTGTGGGTGTCACACCACTATTCGGTCAAATCGGTGGGCTGGATTTACAAAACGGCGGGTTCATGTTACTGTGGGCGGTGAGGGGGGAGGATGTGGGGTTGGTGCTGGATACGTTTAAGCGGTATCCTGGGCTTGGGAAGTGTACAAAAGTGTTCTTTACTGGGCGGGCTGTGGAGGATGAGCTTGCTAAGACGAAAGATGAGGTCAAGGCGCAGGCGAATGTGGTGGAGAGGAGGATGATGAAAAGCGATGTACAGGATGTGCAGGCTGAGACGTGGTATGTGTGTGCTGGAAAGGGGATGAGAAAGGAAGTGACTGGGTGGCTGGATGGACAGAAAGTGGTGTTTGAAGACTTTGATTATTGAGAGCTGGAGAAGATCATGTATACTCCACCCCCTCCCCTACACCCTCCGCCTAACCCTCCCCGCAATCCTCTCCCTCGGCCTCATCGTCCCAAACGCCTTCCTCTTATTCCCCGGATCCAGCCTCCTCGCCCCCTCCAGATCACTCACTTCAATCTCAAACACCCCCATCAATACCGCTAGTGTCACAATGCCGATATTGCGTGCAAAATGCCGACCAGGACATTTATGTTCGCCGCCGCCGAAAGACGTCCAACTACCGCTCAGACCTGCGTCGCTGAACTTTGAGCGGTTGGAGGTCTTGTTGGGGGGAGTCGGAGTGGAGGTGGGGGTGGAAGTGGAAGAGGGGGTGGAAGGAGAAGTGGAGGTGTTGACGAGATACCGCTCAGGCCAAAAGGTATCCAGAGGTTTAGCAACAGTATGGGGCCGGATGGCACGCCAGCCCTGGGTGAATTGGCCGGCGAATTTATGGCTGATGAAGACTTGGGTTCCTTTGGGTACGGTGTATTTCCCATCCAACTTCCACACGTCACTCGTTACTTCTCGAACCGCGAGGTTGGAACTGTACATTCGCGTGGTCTCGGCGTGGAGACTCTGGAATAGCGGGCGAGAGGTGAGTTGCATGAAGTTGTACGCTTTTGTCTCCTCGTCTACGTGGTTCTTCATCTCAGACAACACACACTGTTGTAGTTCCGGATTCCGCAGCGTTTCGAATAGATACCAGAATGTGACTGGTACGGTTAAACTAGTTCCGCCGTAGAGTAAACCGAGAGTCTGAGCGGACCTGCCTTCGATGCCGTGGCCAGGCATTTCGCTATACAGTTTCTCGCGTTCTTGGAGAAGACCCGAACCCGCGACGGGATCCCACACTGTGTTCACGGCGTTGGCTTGACGCAGAGTCTCGGACTTGATGGTCCATGTGCGGATTGCGGAGAGGAGGCGGTCGCGGGCGGCGTATGCTTTTGGAATGATGAAGCGGGGGAGGCCCATGAAGAATTGATCTGTGGCTTCGATGTGGATCCAGAGATCTGTTATGATTTCTGGGTAAGACTCGATAATCGAGCTGCCCAGCAGTGTTTCGGTTATGCCATACGAAAGATGGTATTCGAGGAAGGCGTAAAGGTCGGGGATTTCGTGCCATGTGCCATCAGGGGTTTCGGCGAGGGTTTCAGAGATGGTGCGCTTCATGACGTCGAAGAGGCGTTGGACGAGGAGACCGAGATTGGAGCCAGTGGTGTGTTGCCGGATGTGCGTAGTTTGGATGTAGTCTGTGTTGCTTTCTGGGGAGTTGTAGTAGTCGATGACGGCTTTGGGACTGCTCATTAGTGCGCCCATGATCTTTTCGTGGATGAAGGGGTTGGGGTCTAGTTCGGCGGAGTTGTTGAGCGCGCCTTTGATGTGCTCGGGGTCGAGGATGAAGAGTAGTCTCTCGCCTGCGCCGTCGAGGAAGAAGGGTGAGCCGTCCCCGTATTCATTCCTGTCAACACGTCAGTTCTGCTACGATGTGACAGTTCAGCACAGTTGTCCTTGGGTACTTGCATGCATTTGGCCAGGAAGCCATGGGAATCATAGGCCATTGACAAAGCATGTCGGAGTCCTGGAATCCAGTACGGCAGTGTTGGTGGTAAGATATTGTGCCCTTTGCCATACTTGATGGATCTGAAGACGTGCGACGACCATATCCTCGTGCAAACACATATCGCAGCTATGGCCACGACGCACTGTACGATGAGGCTGCTCTCCAATACTGCAAACGCCGGCCCCAATTGATCGTCCACACGTGTCGCGTTGCTGATCTCCATATCGTTGCAAAGAGAGCCTTGGACTGGACACCTTTTCGATGATACCCCGCGGCTTACAATGACATTGTCATCTTAATGCAAGGAGAGTCCAAAGATAGCAAGGCGACATTTCTGCCAAGTTTGGAGTACGCATCCTTTGATATTTCCATAGCCTCCGCAACGGATGGACACCTAAAGAAAAAGGGCCTTTTCGGTTCATCATCATCAGCATGAGCCAAACATTAGGCCCTTTGCCCTGTGCTTGGTGACGTTATCCATGTGCATACTCGGTGCTGCGCAAACCTAGGCCGATGCTATAGCAACAACGCAAAAAGACTACATGTTAAGACCTCCGCAATGCGCGAAGTATGTAAACTCCAGGACGATATTGTGTGTGGTGTTGTGCAGCTCACGTGTCACGATAAACCACAAAATCTCCGATCGTCGTCGATGCAGGGCGAGTCAGCGCTAACCAGAAGCGGCGTCTAATCTCTGTGGTATCGGCGGCCTCGTCGGCAGCCTTGGGAACGGTAAGCGCGATGGTTCAACTGGAGGATGTCCTGCATGGCTGTAGTGTACTCGAGCGACAGGTGAAACACCAACGGCGGCTGATTGCGTGCAGGTAGTGCATGAAGGCGCTATTTTTGGTGGCATGGTGTGCATCTGGCGTGCATAGTGCGGAGGTGGAGACGATTGGCTAGCGTGTCAGGGTCCCGGCTAGAACAACAGAGCTTCGTCAACTCGACAACCTCCGCGCGCCTCGCTGTCATCATCACGCTCCTTCGCGACCTAGACATCCTTCGCCGTTAGCTACTCATCCATTGCATTTCTTTTCCCTGTTCTTTTTGCGCACGCTTGTTCTATCCCTCAACCCTCAATAGCTTATCTAGCAGCCAGCTAGGACCGTCGTCAGCATGCCGGGAGTTCGTAAGTGCGATCCTCACCCATTTTCACTCTTCAAATCGAGTCCATCTCCGGATCCGACGCGCTTGCATCGTTGCAAACTTTGTAGCGGTTGGCTACTCTGATGTCTGCTTGTATCCGCGCAAACTCCTACCCACCACAAGCCATGACCCTCCACGTTAGCCCGTGTGATCACGAGCACATCCACAGAATCGCTATCTGACACATCCCTCCAACAGCACTCGACGCCATGGACCAGATGAAGAAGGCCTTCAAGGGTCTCTTCAGGGGCAAGAAGTCCAAGAAGGAAGAGCCAAAGCCCACGGCCACGGGTGAAGCGGCTGCTGCTACGCCTGCGCAGACCAAGCCCACCGAGACTACGCCAGCTGCCCCAGCTCCTGCGACTGCGCCCGAGCCCGCAAAGACCGAGACGACACCCGCGGCTACCAGCGCCGAGCCCGCTGCGCCAGTGCCAGCGCCTGCTGAGCCCGCTGCAGCTCCAGCTTCAGATCCAGCTCAGAGCGAGGTGAAGAAGGATGAAGCTGCGGCCCTGACTGAGGTCAAGAAGGCCACGTCCAGTAGGTTTACATCTCGTTCACACTCCAGTCCACTACCGTACCGCGGGAACGAAGCCTGCGATGGCTCTAGGCGGCGACAGAAGGTCGACCTAGACAACCAGTGGAACGGCCCCATCTAGGTGTGGGACTCCTGCACCAGATGGATGGCTATGTGTTAGCATCAGCGCACTTCCCCCAGCACGTTACGACTTACGCCAGATACGACATTTGTTTTCAGTAGTATTTCTTATATCTCTTTCATCGCTCAAGACACCGAGACTAACGCATCATCTTCCAGCCCCCGAACCCGTTGGTGCCGTCGCGCCCGCTCCCCCAACTGCTGCCGAATCTCAGCCCGCTGCCACCGAGGCCCCTAAGGACACTGAGGCCAAGGTCACCGATACACCTGCACCTGCGGCCCCCGTGGAAATGCCCGCAGTGCCTACCAGCCAGCCCGCAGCCGGCATGAGCGCTACAAGCGGTCCTATGTTCGACGAGCCCAACTTTGGCGAGGACAAGGCTGCTGCGCCCGCTGCACCAGCTGCGGCACCAGCTCCCGTTGCGCAAGCTGAGGAGCCCGTCGCCCCTGCACCAACCCCTGCAGTTGCGGATTCTACTCCCGCTGCTCCTGCGCCTGCGCCTGTCGCTGAGCCTACCGCTACCACTGCTGTCCCAGCCGCCGCTGAGGAGAAGGCGGAGAGATAGGGAGCTTCCTTCTCGGCTTAAGAGAAGCCACCGGGCATCACCGCACAGTTGAGGAAACGCCGCATCAGAAAAGGGTCAGAAAACCACAAAAACAATCTTTTTGAATACAGCGGGCGAAGGGCGAGTGTCGGGCCAGGGTTTTCAGCATTGTCTCTTTCCACTAATACTATACCCCACTGCTGTATCTTTCGACGGGTGTGTTGAGCTGTTGGCGAGCTTGAACTTGAATCGAAACAATTTCCATGACGATTGTAGCTCTCTCTTGTCCAGTGAAAAGTAAACGAATCATCGTCATTGCATTGCCCAAAGCTCCCAACTAGCGCGGGGCAAATAGCAGCCCGCGCTACACGTCAAGGCAAGCCCCACCACCGACGTCAACCAAGGGACGCGATAATTCACACTAGAAAGCTGCCTCTCCCGAAACATTTCTACACGCCCGCGAAACAGCTCATCCACCACGAACACGCCCCCAAAGTTTCTCACATTCCCCTCACTCTGCCAGCACAGCAATAACACCAATCTTGCGGCGATGCCCCCCAAAAGCGGCTTCTCGCGCACGCGCAACGTCGACTACGATGACGACGACATGTACGACGACGATGACGATTACTACGAGGAAGAAGAAGCTGGCGGTGGAGCCGATGCAGGAGATGGCATGACTGAAGACGATAAAGAGCAGATGCGTGCGGGTACCATAAGAGTACGCGAGGCGCTGGGGGATAAAAGCGATTTTACGAGCGACGAGCAGATACAAGAGGCGCTATGGCATTATTACTATGATGTTGGGAAGAGTGTTAGTTATTTGAAGAATAGGCTTGGGGTGGGGGAAGTGAAGACGGAGGCGTGAGTGGTATCTCGAAGAATTGGATGTGAGGCAGATGCTGACATGTTGCAGGCCGAAGCAAGAAAAGGCCAAACCTGCGTCAAGGTTCGATCAAGCTGCTAGTGTTGCGGATCAGAATGCGCCCGTAACTGCAGGTAAGCACGCTCACTACACTCCATTCTTCACCTGCACTTTAGCTATGTAGACGCGTCTGCTGCCTCGCTGTCATCCTCCACCGCTGCCCCAATCTCGATGCGATGCCTACCAACGCTGTCACAGACTTCTTCTGGGATGTGCCCTGGGGCAACGTACCACCCGAGCGACTGGGCGTCATCACCGTCGATCCTCCACACTACAAAGGCGGACTACTTGGGGGCTCCTCGAAGCTGGCTGCTCTTGCGGCGAAGCGCAGAAAGGAACGAGAAGACGCGGAAGCCGCTGCCTCGAAAGCCAACAATGACGCGGATTCGGCGATCGCCATGCTGGATAAGCTTTCGGTGAAGAACCAAGAGGGTGGCAATCCTTCTCTCGGCGGCACTGGTCCAGCTCGGCCTTCTCGATACCCTATCCGCAGACGGTCGCCATCGCCAGCACCAGAAGCCCCGAAAGAACCCGAGATAGAACAGCCTCAAGCGCCTCAGCCTGCCGTAGTCGTCGAATCGCCAGCTCAACGCGCCACCGCCTCCATGTTCGCTTCCACCCTTTGCGGCTCTGACGAGTCATCGAAACACCCCCAAGCACCGCTACAAGAGGTTCCACTACCCTTTGCTGCGTACAAATCGTATGATGGCACTGGTGCTTTTGCTGGGCCGAGTCCGGATGACATTGTGCGGGCAGCACAGGCAAAGGGCGCAGGTGGCGGACGTCACTAGATTTTGATACAACTTCTTTTTGAACATCTCTAAATCATACAGGAACAACACCAAAGAAGAAAAAGAAGCAAACGAACGGTGATCTGACCGAATCGGTCGAGAAGCTTACCGTGGCCGACGAACCGAGAGTGAAGAGCAAGAACCTGAACGTCGTGGATGAGTTTGAGAAGAGCGCCTCGAAGCGGTTGGCGAACTTTGTAGTACTTGGTGTGTAAAAGGCGATCGTCGATGCTATGTGATTCCCATGTTAACATCTCCAGGCCACGTCGACCACGGCAAGAGTACGCTCATGGGGCGGTTGCTCTACGATCTCAAAGTCATCGACCAGCGGTCAATAGACAAGTTACGGAAAGAAGCAGAAACCATCGGCAAATCCTCGTTCGCGCTAGCTTGGGTCATGGACGAAACAAGCGAAGAGCGGAGTGGTGGTGTCACCGTTGACATTGCTACAAACTACTTCGAGACCGACAAGACCAAATTCACCATTCTGGATGCGCCCGGACACAAAGACTTCATCCCCAACATGATATCAGGTGCATCACAAGCCGACTTTCCCGTCCTAGTCATCGACGCAAGTACGAACAGCTTCGAGTCTGGTCTTAAGGGGCAGACCAAAGAACACATCTTGATCGCGCGCAGCATGGGCATGCAACATATCATCGTGGCCGTGAACAAGATGGACACTGTCGGATGGTCGAAATCGCGCTTCGACGACATATCAAAACGCATGACTGCCTTCCTCACCGAAGCCAGCTTCCTCGAAAAGCGGATAACCTTCATCCCACTCGCAGGCCTGACAGGAGAGAACGTCGTCAAGAAGATCGAAAACTCCGCCGCCCACTGGTACACCGGCGAAACCCTGCTAAAAGCACTTGAGCGCATCGATCTCCCACCCCGAAACTTTACAAAGCCCCTCCGCCTCTCCGTCGCCGATGTCTTCCGCGGCGATATCCGCTCCCCACTCAGCATATCAGGCCGCATCGACGCCGGCACCCTGCAAGTAGGCGACGTCATCCTCGCCCTCCCCGCCAACGAAACCGCCACCATCAAATCAATCGAAGTACAAGACGCCCCCGTAGACTGGGCCGTATGCGGTCAAATCCCCACACTCCACCTCACAGACATCGACCCCGTGCACCTCCGCCAAGGCGACATAGTCTG